CTTCCCCCCCCCCAGCCACCCCTCACCTGATGCACATGTCATTTCTGGACGGGCTGTTGAACTTCTGTCACAGCCTTCCCCGGCCTTCAGTTTTCCACCATTCCCAGCCACAGTATGGCTCTTGTTAGAGGTAATGGAAGTTGGATTCCCACCCATCTGGAAGGCATCAAGCTGGAAAAAGGAGGCCCTGCAGCTGAGATAATTATTCTTAAAGTCTGTAAGTTAGCTTCCATAATGTGGCAGTGAATTCCACAAGTTAATTACCCTCTAATGAGAAAGAGGGTGCTCTCTCTTTCTACCAGACAGACTGGTAGTCAGCTTCGTTGCTTAGAGCAGAAGGGGGGCCCTCCTCCACTCCTTTCATGATTGTTCAATCATCCACCTTGCCTTTTCCACCATTGAAGTGTTGTGTTCTCTTGTCTTGCAGTTAAATTATTTGAAGTCATAGAGACAGAGAAGACACTGTACCTTGTCATGGAGTATGCTAGTGGGGGTAAGTCTTCATTCCAGACGCCCTGTTTAAGCCGCTTGGCAGGGTGTGTATGTGTGTGTGTGTGTTGCTTTTTGTTCTGGGAAGCAGTTTGCTTAAGGTAAGGGTGTGGATCTCGGAACTGGTGCTGGACTCAAACTCCCATCAGCCAGCACAACCAGCAGCCAGGGGAGATGGGAGTTGTTGTCCAGCATCTAGAGCACGATAGATTCCTCAGCTTTGAGCTACAGAGGAAGTGCAGGTTCTGACCCAAGAAACCCCATTGAGTGGACTGTGGGTCAGTTGTTCTCTTCGTCCACCAGCCCTAACTTGTGAGATTATAGTGAGGATAAAATAGAGGAGGGGGGAGATATTAATAAGTGAGAAACCTGCTCTGTTCCTTAACCTGCTTTCAGTTTCCCCATATTGGTTGTAGGGCCGGACAAATACATGTCAGATCTGAAATCGCACGCAGGGCTTGACTCGGTAGGCCCCAATTGTGTCAGAGGCCCTCGGCAAGCTACTTTCCAAATAACTGGAGAGAAGGATGCTGTGAAAAATGCTGAACTTCTGGGCTTTTAACATAATGTTGTAAAATACATTTCAAGCAAAGGTCCAACCCAAAGCAAATCAAGGGTGGGGGGGAATGTACCCCAATTCTTGCCTTAAAGCCTCCCATGTCTTGTTGTACTGGATCAGATCAGAGGCCTGTGTTAACCTAGAACTGCCTACAAAACTGGCCACAGTTGTTCTTTGAGGGGGTCCCTCCTGCCCACCCCTCTGAAAATCTGGCAGTCAGTGAGATGGGCGGCCTCCCCATTGTGCCCTGTTTTGTGCAGTGTTTGGACAGAAAGCCGGCACATAAACGGCCCCGATCCCTGTCCCTTTGCCTAGCAGGCCGGTTCCCAGGTGCGTTAGCCCCATGCATTTATTTGCTTTGGAAGATTTGAAAGCATTGTTTCTCAGGCTCAAGGCAGAGTTTACAGTCGGCAAAGCAGATGAGGCCTTTAAAATGATGCTCTTGGAGCTTCTCTTTCTTTTTTTGTATGTGTTTTCTTTTAGCACACCATTTGGTGTGTGTCCCCCCACCCCTAGAACTCAGATAACAGTTTTGGCGTTTCTGTGGCTTGTTTTGGTTTTGTTCCAACTTGAGACTGACTCACCGGAAATCCCTGTCTTGCCACAATCACAGAGGCCATTAGGAACCCCATCCCAATGGTTGATGGTTCATCCATCTCTTCGAGCCTTGCCTGTTCTGACACAAAGTGGTTCTCCTGGGCATCAGAGGGTCTCTCCGGGACCACCTGCTAGCTTATCTGGTCTTTGGTTTGTGTTGCTTTGGTGTTTTTTTAAAAAAAAAACAAAAGAAGTCAGAGATTGACCTGGAGCTTTGTGCTTTTCTGCGGGAACACTTAACGAACAGGCTGTTTGGTGGCTGCTCTGGGATTTCTGGAAGGGAGGTTAGCTTAGCCTCGTCCTTCCTGATCCTTCTGCTGGCAAGCAAAGACCTTTCTGCTCAGGCAGCCTTTTGGCAAATGGACTGGCAGTTAAAGTAGGGGCTTTCAACAGGCAAGGACTGTACGTTCGTCCCCCTGACGTGCTTTTAAATTACTTTTAATTTAGGTTGTCATTTTAATGTAATAATCTGCTCAGTTGAGCTTTAATATGGTCAAGTGCCAGGTTTTTATTTGCGCCCATTTCTTAACCATTTTGTGAGCCGATTTCGGTCCCAGAACTGGGAGAAAGGTAGGATGTAGGTTAAATAACATAAGCACTGGGAACTGCCTTTAAAAATGGTTTCTAAATCCATCCAGCCCTCTGTTTGCTATGCTGACAGCCAGAAAGTCCTCAGGGTGTCAGACAGGCGTGTTTTCCAGCCTTACCTGGAGATGTCAGGGACAGAACACTCTATGCAGAGCAGGTGCTTTGCCACCGAGCTGCGCCAGGTACAATAGTTGAGAACTCTTGACAGGTAGACAGAGCTGGCTGGGTCTCCTTGATTCCCTCTAGGCAACCTTTCCCGCCCACTCCCAGCAAAGTAGAGTCAGCAACAAAGGTGTGAGGTGGAGAGCCTCCTTCCCCCAGATGTCCTGGTTTGACTTTATTCCAGGAATAAACGTGCTTGGGATTTCATCACATTTGATATCCTGCCCCCTGATTCCCTGGCCATAACGAGCGTTTCTTTTGCATCGGCTCTCTTGCAGGCGAAGTGTTTGACTACCTGGTAGCCCATGGAAGAATGAAAGAGAAGGAAGCGCGGGCGAAATTCCGACAGGTGGGTGCCGTGCCTTTTTGGGGGTGTAAGCCGCGAACTGCATTTTTTTCCTTGTTAAGTACGGGTCCCGAGGGATATGTGGGGGAGCCCTCCCCAGGGTCGCTAAGCTGTTGTCTGATTCTACAGTCGTAGAGAACACTCTCCCGGAAGTGACACCGCGGCTTCTGGGAGGAGGCGTGGCTACCCGTTCTTCCTCTTTCTCGTAGACCCTTTCTTTGATCAATCTAATTGGCATGATGTAACCATTACCCTATCTGAACCCTGCCAACGATCTGTATAGTATCAACACTCTGTAAGGTTAATAAAAGGGAGTCCTCCTGGGAGGGGGCGTTGCCCCAGAGGTGTATGGAGAGGGGTGTGTGTGTGCGTGGAGGACTCTGCTGGCAGACATCTCTGTGTGTGGCCGACTTCTTTAACTTCTCTCTCTAAGACCAATTGCTATCTTAATTACTTGTGATCACATAACCTACCAGCCTTCTCATTTCGCAGCCACAATAGGAATTGGTCCAAAAAGTGATGGGGAAACACTGCAGTTGTTCTGACGGGTAGATAATATCTGGACACCTTGTAAATTTCACTGAATTAAGGCAATAAATTTTGTTTGGAAGCGCTCAGAAAAATCGGAAGGGGGGGAGGGATAGGCAGAAGGAAAGAGAATTTGTTCCTAATTTTACCATTAGCACATGTCATTTGAAGCAAAAATCAAGGTTCTAGCCATTCCATTTTTACATGTGGATAGTGCTTGTATAAGCAGAGTGAAAAGAAACAGAGGAGGTGCTTACCTCCCAGGGCAGCCATTGAAAAGGGAAAAGCAATTCTAGGTCTCGAGTGGCAAAGGGTGATCTTCCCCGTATTTCTTGGACTGAAACTCCCAGCATTCCTCACCCTCCGCTGTGCTGCAAGGCCTGATGGAACTTGTAGTCCAGCAACATCTGGAAAGCTTCACCTTCAGCAGCAGTAAATATTCTGCCGCTGGGCTGGGCTGGGCAGGCCTGCCTGATGTGCAGACAAATCTGGGACTGATTTGGATTAAAAAAGCTTATGCCAAGGATCCATCTGGCCCAGTAACCTGTTCCCAAGTTTCTGACAGCCAATACCAGTCCCTAAGATGGTCCAGAGTCCACAAGCCCTCGGCATTTTGCATCAAGGAATGTGCTATTTTTGCACTTGGGCGTTTCATTCGTTCATAAATAGCAGACCTCCTCTGTGAATGTCCTCATCTTTTTAAAACAAAGGTGGAAAACCTGTGAACCCTCTGGATATTAATCAAACATTGTTCCCACGATGGATCATCCTTGGCCAGAGTGACTAGAACTGATGGAATTAAGAGTCCAATATCACGTGATGGGCCATGAGTTCACTGTTTCAAACCCACCCTTGGGGGAGTGATTATGCTTTATATCTCATGGCAACATGTCCAGAAATTGACAAGATTCATGGAAGGGGAACGTTCCCAATCGGTGGGCTTCCTCAGCGGAGCACTCCGGACTGTGCCTGTTGTCCCACAACACGGGCGTCTGGCCCAATCTCCCTCCGGCGGTGGATGGCTGAGGGAAGGGTCCGTCCGAATCACCTTCCTCGAGTGACCTTATCCCCGCAGAAAGACCACAACCATCCGTTCTAGAGCTTCTGCCAATGTCCCCTTTTCTTTAGACTTGTCCGGGTCAGGTCACAACCCTCCTACCTTCAAATTAGCGAAGCTCCCCCAACAGCCCATGCATTCTATCATATTCGTATTCTCTTTTCTCCCCCTCTTTTCCCTTCCCTTCCCTTCCTTCTTTCTCTCTCTCTCTCTCTCTTTGGTACACTGAACTGTCTCCTCCCACTTTGTTCCCTTATCTCCTTCTCCCACAGGGGCAAAATTACAGGTCACAACCCTCCTACCTTCAAATTAGCGAAGCTCCCCCAACAGCCCATGCATTCTATCATATTCGTATTCTCTTTTCTCCCCCTCTTTTCCCTTCCCTTCCCTTCCTTCTTTCTCTCTCTCTCTCTCTCTTTGGTACACTGAACTGTCTCCTCCCACTTTGTTCCCTTATCTCCTTCTCCCACACGGGCAAAATTAAACTCCTCTTCCCCTTCTTCCGCTCTCTCTCTCTTCCACTAGACAGATTTCCATCTTCTCCTCTTTCCCCTTTGATCCCCTTCTTTTCCCTTCCTCCACCTTCAACTCCTCCCTTTCCATTGTCTTCCCTGCTTCTATCTTTCTCTCCTGCTCCGACGTCTCTAGCCAAGGGGATGGCTCACTCTGTTCTTTCTGTTTCGGGCCTACCTCCTTCATGGCTATACACTCACAGAAAAAAGGGAATAGATTGACTTGGGGCTAGTTAAAATGAGTGTTTTCATGGGTGTGAGGCAGGAAATTATACTGTCTCCTTTTAAGTGCAGAAGACCTAAATGGCTGCTACTCAGATGATTTCTCAACCACATGCAATGCTTTTCTGCCATACCATGAATCGAAGAATTATATGTCAACAGAGTAGCCACACCAATTGACCTGACTGATAGACCGTAGGTCTTTGCCTCCTAAAGGTTGATTCCATGGGAGAGATGTAAGCTGTTGTCCACATCTTCCTCCACCCGTCATTTATACACAAATCCCGGGCCTAGGGAATGCATTCAGAAAATCTTCTACATAATAAAGCTTTGTTATCAGAACCAGCCTTCCAAATCATGGTGCTTTGTGTTACATTTTCCAAAGTCCCAGAGGTAGCTAGCTGTGGGATTATCCGAGTTGTAGCCCAGCTCACTGAGAAGTTCAAGAAATCCCTTCTAAAGGGGGCAGTGCCTAGGTTGTTGTAAAGTCAGTCTCCGTTGTCTTGATGCAAGATCGTCCTCCCGACTCTCTCTGTCATTCTTTGTCTTCCAGATAGTTTCTGCTGTGCAGTACTGTCACCAAAAATTCATTGTACATAGAGACTTGAAGGTGAGTAGCAATCTGGGGAAGGGCTTACGGGTGGAGGTCTGCAAAACCATGCCTGCTTTTTGTATGCCTGCTGTGTAAAGGCAGAATTTAGAGTTGGGAGTCTGCGGGACTCTTTCGCTAGCAGGCTCGTGGTCGGGAACTACGTGTTTAGTCCTAATGATGATCAAGGAAAGCTCGGTGCGGTGTGCTTTGCAAGCCTGCCAGATGGATCTCCACGCGGCTTCAATCAGTGGGTCATAAAATTAACTCCCTGGGTCTAAGAGTCCAGTATCTTGCCAGCGATACAGGCAGCTTGGTTCCCTCCAGTTACTTCAGATTACAACTCCCATAAGCCCCTATCAGCATGAGATTGTGTCCCCTCTGCTGAGGGGCAACTGGCTACCTACCTGTAGAATACTCATTTCATTCCACCAGAGGGATGGCAGGACTTCCCAGAATCTTTCCTGACGTTAACAAAGGGTATTCTCTCAAGTTGTATCTCCAAAATGCATCTCCAAGGGGCCGTTTCCTGGTTGTTACTGAAGAGTCCTCTTCACCATTAATGCATATTATAATATATGACACACAGAACAGTTTTCTAAGTACTCACCCAGCCAAACCAGTCCTCCTCCCACTGCCCCCATGTCAAAGCAGGAGTGCAGAGTAGCTCAAAGCAGACTATACTACCAAAGGATGATAAACTGCCTTATTGGATCTCCCCCTGTGTCTCACCTGCATGCTCAGATCTATATCTCCCACTACTTTCCCCACCACCAGCAGCACTATAGACTTGAGAGACGTAGGGAATCCTATGAGCTGAGTGGGGTCTCATCCACCATTTAATCTCCTGTGAATGAATGATCAGGAGACTGGAAACCAAGTACTTTGAGGAAGAACTGAATGAGCTGGGCATGTTTAGCCTGGAGAAGAGAAGACTGAAAGGTTAATAGCGGAGGGGCAGGATCTGTTCTCCATCATCCCATAGTGCAGGACGTGTAATAATGGGCTCAAGTTATAGGGAGCCAGATTTCAGTTGAATATCAGGAAAAAGTTCTTAACTGTTAGAGCAGTACAACTGTGGAACCAATTACCTCGAGAGGTGGTGAGTGCTCCAAGACTGGAAACATTCAAGAGCAAATTAGAGAACCATCCATCTGAGTTGCTTCGATTTGTATTCCTGCCTTCAGCAGAGTGTTGGACTAGATGGCCTTATAAGCCCCTTCTAACTCAGTGATTCTATGGTTACTGCCTGAACATCCCGAGAGCCCATTGGCCATGTATCACTAGGGCTCGCCTTTAGCGCTTGCAAATCAATATCGTCCTGTCCCTCGCAGGCAGAGAATCTGCTCTTAGATGCCGACATGAACATCAAAATTGCAGACTTCGGTTTCAGCAACGAGTTCACGTTCGGCAACAAGCTCGACACGTTCTGCGGGAGCCCCCCGTACGCCGCGCCCGAGCTTTTCCAGGGCAAGAAATACGACGGCCCCGAGGTTGATGTCTGGAGCCTCGGAGTCATCCTTTACACACTGGTCAGCGGCTCCCTGCCCTTTGACGGGCAGAACCTCAAGGTGAGAGAGGGAGTGAGGTTGGGATCCTGTGTTCCTTACAGGCTGCCTTGTTCAATTGAAGAACCACCACCCCAGAATGGAGAAAAGCAGGGCCCCTTTCTATAGTAACTAGGACTTCCTGCTGTCTTTAGTGGGTGGGGTGGTGGTGTATCTCCCACCCCAGTGCTGCTTGACCCGATGGCTTATTGACTCCCCTCCCTCCCTTTTCCTTCCTCAGGAGCTGCGAGAACGGGTCTTGAGGGGGAAGTACCGGATCCCCTTCTACATGTCTACAGACTGCGAGAACCTGCTGAAAAAATTCCTCATCCTTAACCCAAGCAAGAGAGGCACTTTAGAGGTGAGCTCAGCACAGCCGGGAGCTTTTGGTCGGGACCCACATGCACAAGAGGGTGTCATGAGTTCTGGAATCTGAGGGGGGTTAATTACCGTTGAGGAGAATGGAGAGCAATCAGAATTGCAGGCAGCTGAATCACCCCCAGATTCTACATCTTCTTCGGCTGAACTCATGACAGAGGGAGACCAGGAGCAAGACGCAACAGAAGCACCCACCTGTGTGGGACCTTTTGCTGGCTCCTCTGTCGCCCACCATTCACTGGGGCTCCGTGTGAATGTACGAAGAGGCCTGGCACGGAGTCCAACGCTTGGCTCGGCTACCTCTGTGTCATCTTCAGTTCCGGTGCGAAGATGGGAGTTGTAGTCAAAAATCATTTATCTGGGTACTTTTAGCAATGATTCCTCGAGGTTTCAAACTGCAGGTGTTGTTCTCCTTGTGTGCAGATGCGAAGGGTTTGAACCCAGTCCATTCTGCTTGCTTCTTTTTCCTTTCTTTTCTCCCACGTTTCTCCTTAAAAAAGGATCCAGCACTGCTTACGGGATTAAAAAGATTAAAACAGAAAATGATTACAAGAGGAAGAAAGAATTTAAAAAATGCAATATCAAAACGAGTAGATAGAAGCAGTCCTGAAAACACGTTAAAACAACAACAAAAACAAAAACACAATAGTCCTGTTTTAAAAACCCCTCTTAGATAGCCAGTCACTGAAGAGAAAGGTCTCTGCCTGCTTGTGGAAGGACAGCAAAGATGGGTCGGGGACAGGGAGTTCCAGAGTCTGGAGCAGCCACCGAGAAGGCCCCTCTCCCATGTCTCTCCCTCCATCAAGGGCACCACCGGTGAAGATGGCAGGACCGAGAGAAAGGCCTCCTCTGATGATCTTTACACCTGAGCATTCTCGTAACGGGAGGCACAGCCCTTGAGAGAGTTTGGGCCCGCTGCCCCCACCCAGGGTAGCTTCTTTTACATCAGAATGTGCTTAACCTCTCCTTCAGTTCGAGCCGACGCGCCTCCATGTTCTGCCTCAGTTCCCCTTCGCCTCACACAGCCTGGCCAGTTATGACATATCTGAGTTGTGGGGCAACAGCAGGAGAACCAACGGCTCCTTGCCCTGCTCTGAAATCGGGAGGAGCCTTTGACTAGCGGTGTGTAGAGCTTATTGCTTTCTTCCCCGCCATCACTTTCAAGAGGTGTCCGGTGGCTTCCTTCTTTTTCAGAGGACTTTTAGTAAGTCATGCTCTTCCTTAACATCGGCTTCTCCCCTTTTCCCCTGAACTATAATCACGGCGAGTGCTGGGAACTCTTCCTCCTTTGCTTTTATAGCCGCGGCATGCAGCCGCGTGTAACTTAATTTTGAAGGATTTTTGTAATGGTTTGGCGTGCTGGCATGAAAATCAAGAACTGTTAAACCACGTGAAATTTTCCATGTCTTGATGGCATGCGGTTACATTTGCGCAGTGTGTCATAAATAGCCGTCGACTAGAACCTCGTATAATTTTAATTTCAGCATTACCTTCTAAATCACCTTCTCGGCTAGAGTTCTAACAGATCAGTCCCTGAAGTAATGGGGAAATGGGAAGGGGTTATTCAAATGTTAATGTTTTTAAGACGGAGTGAATGCTTGACGTCAAGTTGCAGCTAATACACACACGCACAAACATATATACTTGCAAACATAGGTGATGTTGTCTTCTCCAAGCACCATTTGACTGGTTCCCCACCTGTCCCAGAATCTGCTCTTTGTGGCCCTTAACTGTCGTCTATTTGAGTCTCTCTTGCCGCAGAGAGGGTAAATCGCTTTTCCGAGCGCCTTGCCAACAGGGGAAGCCCAGTCTTCACACGCTGTGTGTGTTTTTCTTTTAATTTCTTGCCTTCTCAACAAACATTCCTCGTTGCTTCACTTCTGCCCTGGTTCGTTTCCCTGCGGCTGGCTTGTGCCTCTTGTCTGGCGGGGCTGCAGTGCCCCCTGCCATCCAAAATTGCCTTTCCAGCCGGGCGGGTAATTAAGCGGCCCCTTCAGCCGGTTCTCGAATCAGAGGAGGGACGTTCCTTTGGCTTCCGGCCTCGGAACACCTCCGCCCCTGCTGTTCCCTACTTGCTAGAGACAATTTAAATGGCGGGTTTGGGGTTCTCCCTTCGATTTCCGCAGGGAATTGCAGAAAGGGGGGGGGGTTGGATGCTTTTAAAGGCGCGAGTGAATTTATGCTTTGGTGTGGGAAGAGGCATGACAAGACTCCCCACACACACACACCTCAATTTGCCTTGGAAAAGGAAGATGCTTGTGTAGGAGGCAGGAAGAGGAATCTCCTTCGACAGCCCTGATGGGATCTTTTGTCAGGGCAAAAACGTGTTTTTTTTTTCCTGGTTGATGCCGAATGTCCCTTGAAGGAAGGCGTTCTTCAGGGGACACCTCCCTCCTAGCCCCCCACCCCAACCACCCCAATAGGCCAGGATGACATCTCCGGTGCTGTGAAGGGCTGAGATCTGCCTTTTCAGGGGAAAACGGCCTTGCATCGCTACTGCCAATACCAGGTGACAGTGAAAGCATTACGCCTCTGAGGATTACGTTGGCTATAAGGGGGGGCAGGGAAAGCAGAAATGATGCTTCCCTCCCTTCCCATGACTCTCTCTTCTTTTTTTGGGGGGGGGTGACAAAGATGGTTAAATGATTACCTCCTCTTCGCTCCCTTACTTTCTGTAGCCATGATTCCGGGTTCCTTCATGGAATTTAATTTTAAAAGGGTTGTTGGATCAGTGGCACTTCGTGATATTAGGTAATCCACCCAAGATCTCCCTGATGGGATGCTTCCTGGCTGCTGCCCCCCCCGATGTCTGCCGCGCCCCCCCCGCACCTCGTGATCCTTTCTGAAGCCCTCTCTCTGAGGCTGTGTCTCTACAAGACTTGGGGCAATGGGAGGAGGAGTCTTCTTAGTGTCATACACCGCTTAACAAAATTCTCCCACATTTCATCTTTCTGAAGCCCTCTCTGAGTCTCTACAAGATTTGGGGCAATGGGAGGAGGAGTCTTAGTGCCATGCACCACTTAACAAAATTCTCCCACATTTCTTTACAGCACCAAGCATAATTTTTGGCTTCCCATTCTTAATATCTGAGATAGTCAATATCAGATTATTTTAGTGCTGCTTTTATTTTCCTGTCTTACTAATTTTTTTTAAAAAAACAGCCATACTGTTATTCTCCATAAATTGCCGTGTTACTAATGGTTAAAACACACTGTACAGATTTACTGAATGAATGGGTAGATGGATGGATTCATTGGCCATCATAAGCCCATCCTCGCATCCATGCGGATGCCAGTTCTCTGCTCATATCTGAGCATGGGCCAGGTTTTCTGTAGCTCAGGGCTCACCTGCTTGTCGTGGGGAACTAAGATGGTAACTCTACTGTCCTTGGCAGATGCCCACACTTAACTGAGGCTAGGAGGAGTTGGAAGTCTAGCAGCGTTTTGAGCGACGTAAATTCCCTCTTTCTTCCTTCCTTCCCTCCCCTTGCAGTAAATATTAGGAGAGAATGTCTGAAGTCTGGTTTTCCAGTTTTAAATCAGAAATCTGTCTGGTAGCACAGCTAGGATCCTTGTAACTAAAATATTGGAAAGAAGGAAGTGCCAAGATCTGCCCACCCTTGCCCAAAACTCAGCACATCAGTCAACTCCATGTTTCTCTTTGGCCTCCTCACAGCAAATCATGAAAGACCGCTGGATGAATGTGGGGCATGAGGATGATGAACTAAAGCCTTACACGGAGCCTGTGCCTGACTACAAGGACCCCCGGCGGACAGGTAAGGCATTGCAGCCGCATGGCCGATTGAGAGGTCCTGTATCAATCGCCGGGTCTGGTTTCTGGACCTTCTGGATGGACATGTTCATGTTTGCCTTGCAACAGAGAACCACAGATCTCAGTGTTCCCCCTCCTCCTCCAGAACTATCCTCCCTCCCTTTCTCCAAGCGTACACCCCCCCTTCGTTACAATGATAATCTTAGAACCGCAGACCTGAAATGGACTCTATAGACTGAGTCCAAACTCCCAACATCCCAGTTTATTTATCAGCCCTTCAAGAAGTTCTGACAGTCTCTCTCTCTCTCTCCTTTCTGCTGTGTGTGTGTCTGCTCTGTTGTGTTGTCTGGCAGAACTCATGATATCTATGGGCTATACCCGGGAGGAAATCCAGGAGTCGTTAGTCAACCAGAAGTATAACGAAGTAATGGCTACATATCTGCTGCTAGGATACAAAAATTCAGAGGTGAGTGCTTTGTCTCTCGGAGGTGCTCGGATCTTTGCCCTATAGAGATGGTTGAGTTACCAGACTGCAGATTCCAAGGCAGTTCACAAACCACACACACACACACTCTCCAGTTCGGCCGCTCTCCAAATTTGTGACCCCCTAACTCAGGCTCCTCCAGATGGATTGGACTACAGTTCTGTTCGTCGTTGTTTAGTTGTTTAACCGTGCCCGACTCTTCTTCTTGACCCCCATGGACCGGAGCAGGCCATGCCCTCCTGTCTTCCACTGCCACCCGGAGTTGGGTCAAATTCGATGGTCGCTTCAATGACCCTGTCCAACCATCTCGCCCTCTGTCGTCCCCTTCTCCTCTTGCCGTCAACATCAAAGTCTGTTAACAGTGGTTAAATGTGCCCACTGGGGATGATTGGGGGACTTTATTCCAACATATCTGAAGGGTCCCAAGTTGGGGAAGTGGCTGCCCAGAAGGCGGACCGTCTCCACTTGCACACAGGCAGCATTTCCCAAGACAGCCTGGTTTTTTCAACCTCTGAACGGGTAGAGG